CACACCCACACCCACACCCCCACACCCACTCCCCCACCCAATCCACACCCTCACCCACACCCAACCCACACCCTCACCCACACCCATAGTTATTCGAATGCTAGGTCAAAGTAAACATCACTCACTATTGATAAAAATGCGAAGAGAGAGAAAATAATGGTCAGTGTGTGTTCAGTTGTTTCTTTAAGTCTTGTATATATTGAATCCAGCGGTTTAGTTTCTCTTGATTAAATAATGGAGAAGACCGTGCAATCTCTAAAGCTGTGTTGAAATGTTCTAACGCTTCATCGTATCTATTTAAGCATTCATGCATTATACCAGCATTATAGTGTATTTGAGCTATTGTGTCATGGTTATCTGGCAACGAGTTCTTCGCAATGTCAAGAGCTCGTTGAAGACAATCAATAGCTGATGGATAGTTTCTTTTATCTTCGTAGAGCACAGCTAAATTGCTTTATGACATAGATAAATCAGGATGATTCGAAGGTAAATGTTGCAGACGTAGCTCTACCACTTTTTTGTAGTTATCTAGAGAATCCTCTATTTTACCTTCAGCGCGCTGAATAAATGCCAAATTCGATAAATGATAACAATAGACCACCGGATCAATTTCCTTGTTATCTTTAGTTGACGATACTAAAGCCAATGCACGTTCGCAGTTCATTCGGGCCTGAACTAAGTCTCCTTTTTTCGTATAGAGTGTACTTAAATTTGCATAAGTTACTGTTAAATAGCGCTCTTTATCCTGATCATCATTGAACGAGTGTTGAATATCGATTACTTTTTTATAGTGAACAATGGCTTGATCGAGTTGGTCCATTTGTTGATAAATTAAACCTAAATGTTGATGAGCATAAGAAAGCAAAACAAAGTTATCGGAAAACGATTGAAGTAACGTATGATAAATCTGTAATGCTCCGTCATAATCACTCATTCTATAACATAATTGTCCTAGTCTATCCACATTTAATAGACCAGCAATGCTAATCTCCGAGCGTAAATGTTCAAGAAGAACATTCAACTGTTCGTCTTGATCATCAGTAAAATCCAAATCGATCTGCCAGAGACGTTCTCCGATCTCGCTAACATCATTGATTCGAAATACTGTATGCATAGAAAACAAAACTTCATTTTCATGTGGATAATAACTAACACTTCTTAATGAAGAAAACGGAGACATGCATTTTCTGTTTTTCACTACGGTGGAACTCAATTGGATCCGGAATAGAACACCAACGTACGATGAATCATCTGCGGCACTACTAGCATACATCAGTGATACGTCGTAATCCGAACTAGTGGAGAGGAAGTTGTTGAATGAAAGTAGACCGCCGATGTGTTGATGTAGACGTTCAAAATTATCGATTGTCATGCCTTGTCCACGATAGAGTATTGAGAAAGATTGATTTTCCGTCTCAGTCTGTTGTAGTTCAATCAATTGTAGATGAAGATCGCGAATAAAAAATCCCATCATTAATATCGTGGTGATGTCTTGTGTTCGTAAAGCTTTGTTTAGTGTCGAGTAAAGAAATGATTCCTTCGTGTACCACCAAACAGGTGGATGCTCTTTGTATGTATTGCGAAAACAATTTATGCTTTCTAATTGAGTTTGATTATCTTGATTTTCAGCACGACAAGCATTAGCGAATATATCCATGTACTCTTCATCGTAATCCACCTCAGTATCGATTATTATCTCTTTCATCAATTGCGAATACATAAAAGATGCATCAAGACGATTTAGTAAAGATGCATCAACGACTTCATCTTTTTGAGGACGAAATGTTTGAAAACCAATTGTTTCATGGGTCTTTTGACGAATGCTTCCTGAAATCGGAGGAAGAATGGATTTGCGATCACTGTTATACTGAATTAGCATTAATTTTCGGGAAAATTTTGTCCATTCAACATAGTGTTTGTGACTATCATCACATAACAGATAAATCGATCTGAGTTGATGAATTGTTTCAAGTAAAGGCAAAAGTTTATCATTAAAATATTCAGCGATAACTACGAGACAGACAACATCATTCTCGTCTGTTGCTGTTATAAAATCGATACAGGCATTCCATTCGTTAAATTGTTGCATATCATAAACGTTTTGGCGAAGCTCTTCAATCGTTTGACGAACGTTTTCATGTGTTTTCCGAAGTTCCAAATCGAGCGAACACAAAATTACATGATCTGAGATAGTTTTCTTGGCTCCATCTGTTCTATTCATATTTCTACAAGAAACTAACAAAATTTTTAGTTAAGATCTCATTGCATCAATGTCTATTTGTATCACAGTTCGTGAGTGTGTGTAGTGTGCCTGTTATGTGAGAAACAAAAATGTTGACTACCTTAACCCTTACATTCATAGTCACCAGTCCACATCCATATTCATACCGCACTACATAGTATTGTGTTAGACGTCGATTTAAAGATAACTGTGGATGCGAATGTTGTTATTCCATTGTACAACTAAAACTTACTGTATTGAGGTGGTGGGAAGCTTTCGCTGAGGATGTAGGGTGTGGATTTTCTTTTTATCATGACACATACATAGACGCTTTCGTTTGTAACACAGGCAAGCCAATACTTAATTGAAGTGAGGGCATAAGCGGTAGGGGTGTTTGTGAATTTTTCTTTCTGAATCACAGTCAATCTTGCCTGTACTCACTTGGGTCAGATTTTGGTTTACCTTTCAAAGTTCTTTAGTTATTCAATTTGAATGTGGTTTAGTCTTTAAGTGAAAATAATAAGTGAGCACCTATCGAGTCCACAAACTTGGAACCTGAAATCGCCCATGGTTTATTAAAAATCCTGCAAATCCTGCTCTTACTCGAATTCGTTTCAATATCCTTTTGAAGAGCCGAGCTGTGACATGCAGTCTACTGGTAAACTTTCTTTTGATCTAACCGGAGTTTGATCCTAACCCAAGACAAGCAATCCTTGCACAGGATTCCGGCCGGGATTTCGTCGGAATCCGATAAAAACTGACGAAATCCGACAGAATGCTATCGGATTGTGCATGTGCCCGATCAGTTCCGACAGACGGAATCCGGCCCATTGGATTCCGACAAAAATCCGACAGGATACAGACGCAATTATTTGAATCTGATAGGATTCGACCGAGCGAGAATCACTTGGGAACCTACAATACTCACAATGAGACTTTTTATTACGTATGTATAGTCGCTCCAAAGATTCAAGGTGTCTTTTCACTTATTTATATTCAGCAGCCAGCATAGACTATGCACTTCTGACACTTTATGCCACTTAGATGTTGATACGATGATGTTACCCGGAAAAATTCTTTTATACGAAGTTGTTAGATGTGGAAAAGTGAGTGAACCTCATATTACAACTGAAAAGCATAAATGATGAACATATGATGAATCCATATAGACAACGAATAACCTAGAAGAAATGCCGGAATTTTACATTTGATTTTTCATCACAACATACGCAGTTTCAAAAGGATTCAATATACCAAAAAATGAATCGCAAGAAGCCTTGTACTTTCTATAAGAGCTCTTATTTTTGTAATTTTTGTTTTCATAGTGGAAAAAAAACTTCAGCAATCAAATTTTGACTGTGTAAGAATCAGTCATACAAAATTTTGCTTTTGAGAACAACTCTAATAAGTTTCATGTTGTAAATCATAGAGCATTCATGCTTCATCTTGCGACATATTTGGCTTTCCTTAATAAAAACACGGTAGACGATAAAGAATGAAGGAAGAAAAAACAATTCTGATTCAGAAAAAAAAACATTCTTTTTTCACGATATTCAAATTGGGCTGCTTGAAACTTTGTCTATTACTGAAAGAAAAAATTACAACTATGAAGTAAGTGACTAAATGTAGATTATACAGTTACTCATGCTGCACGACGTAAATGTGGGTGTGTGGGTGTGGGTGTGGGTGTGGGGTGTGGGTGTGGGTGTGGGTGTGGGGTGTGGGTGTGGGTGTGGGTGTGGGTGTGGGTGTGGGTGTGGGTGTGGGTGGGGG